GTATTCTGGACATACAGATAAATTGCCCATAATTGAACACATCTAGCAAATGGCAAACTGGTTTTTGAGTCCCTATTCATCCACATTCTGAAGCCTGTAGTTTTTAGACTGGATGCCCCTGCATGTTGTCCCGGCTGCAAGGGCCTTCCCTGTAGTACCATCTTACCTCATAAATTTGAGTGTTCTTAGAGTAGTTCAGAGGGAGTGAGCTGTCAACCGGGTGAAGCAAATCCTAGCAGGCTACCTGTCCAGAGGCCTGGGATGGCAGATCCAGGGGAAATAAAGTCATTAAAGAAGCTAACGGGTAATTTGGTAATTTTAGAAAATTAGGGTGTTAGTTCATTGGATCAGAATTCCTTAGAATTTTTAGTCTTATATTATCATGTCCTTGAGGGATGCACCATTTCTTGTCATGGTATCTGACCCATTTCCCCTGCACTCCACTTCCCAAATGCCTGAAATGTGGTGAGGAAATTAGTGAATTTATAGTTTGTTGGACATCACCAGATTTATTAAGAGAAGGGGAAGGGCATGGTGGCTCACACCTGTAATCCCAGCACTTTAAGATGCCGAGGAGGCAGATCACTTGAGGTCAGGAGTTCAAGACTAGTCTGGCCAACATAGTGAAATTCTGTCTTTACTAAAAATACAACAATTAGCTGGGCATGGTGGCAGGCACCTGTAATCCCAGCTACTTGGGAGGCTGAGGCATGGGAATCACTTGAATCTGGGAGGCAGAGGTTGCAGTGAACTGGGATTGTGCCATTGTACTCCAGCCTGGGAGACAGTGAGATACCATCTCAAAAAAAAAAAAAAAAAAAAAGAGAGAGAGAAGGAAAACTGTCTCTGTCCAAATGAAAGGTTATTGCTTGAGCTTTCGATGGGCTCGGTCTCATAAACTGATGAAATTTCTTTTTTTTTTTTTTTTGAGACGGAGTCTCACTCTGTCACGAAGGCTGGAGTGCAGTGGCATGATCTCGGCTCACTGCAAGCTCCGCCTCCCGGGTTCACGCCGTTGTTCTACCTCAGCCTCCTGAGTAGCTGGGACTACAGGCGCCCGCCACCACGCCCAGATAATTTTTGTATTTTTAGTACAGACAGGGTTTCACCGTGTTAGCCAGGATGACCTCATGATATGCCCACCTCAGCCTCCCAAAGTGCTGGGATTACAGGCATGAGCCACCGCGCCCGGCCTAACTGATGAAAACTTAACCAATGAGTAGATTTCATTCTCATTTCCTAACCCTATTGGCAAATCCAGGTGGAAAACTACATGGTGAGCATGGAGCCAAGATGACTTCATGGCTAATGTTTATGCCTGGGGCAGGCATCTCACCTCAGACAGCATGAATTCCAGGCTGAGAGCTGCTGGTCTGGGCAGCCTCTCCCTAAACAATCTCATTTCTTACTGATGGCTGCACCAACGGGTGGCTTAAGTATTCAATCTTAATTAAGTGTTTGTTACACCAATGCTACACCAATGTTACACGAACTTTAAGACAAAGCCCAGGCTCCCCCATTCCAACCAGATTGCTCTCCCTAAGTCCCTATTATAAAAATTCTGAATCCTTCACATGGTTATTCCTTCATCCAATATTTATTGAGTGGCTACTAAGAGCCAGGGGCCAGGGATACAGCAGTGAAAAGAAAAAATAGACGAAAACAGCTGTCCTTCTGGAGCTTACATTCAAGTAGGAAAAAATGGATTATAAATAGATTAGATGGGAAGGAGGGGGAATGCTGAGAAAGGGAGTAAGTGTGGCAAATTAATTTTATTTTGAGATGGAGTCTTGCTCTTGTCACGCAGGCTGGAGTGCAGTGGCGTGATCTTGGCTCACTGCAACCTCCGCCTCCCAGGTTCAAGTAATTCTCCTGCCTCAGCCTCCTGAGTAGCTAGGATTACAGGCGCCCACCACTATGCCCGGCTAATTTTTTTGTAATTTTAGTACAGATGGGGTTTCACCATGTTGACCAGGCTGGTCTTGAACTCCTGACCTCAGGTGATCCAGCCACCTCTGCCTCCCAAAGTGCTGGGATTATAGGCATGAGCCACCACGCCCGGCCTAAGTGTGGCAATTTTAAATAAAATCAAAGAAGTCATGGTTGAGAAAATGACATTTTAGCTAAGAACTGAAGCAATGAGGAAGCGAGCCACATGGCTATCTGCGAGAGAGCATTTCAGATGAACACAAGCAAAAGGCTTGAGATGAGATGCTGTGGTCAACACATGGGACAATGCGGTGGTCAGCACGTGGAACCAGGTGAACAAGGAAGAGAGTAGTAGGAAATGAGGTGGCAGACTGAATGTATTCTGCAGATGGAGAGACATTAGAGGGCTTGGAGGGGAAGTTGATCTTCTCAGAGAAAAATGTTAAGAGGGGTAGAAGACATAATATTGGTGATTTTGGTACAGAATATGTAGGTGAACATTAACTACATGATACAAGCCCCTTAGGCCTGGCTGGAATGGCCAAGTCAAAAGGAAAGAGAAAGAAAAGATAGAAGCTTATCTGTAGGAAGCACTTAAAGGATTTCAGGAAACAATTTGTTTCAGATAAAAATAAACGGTACTGTTGAGTGGTGCGTTTTAAGGGATATTATTAATTTCACCTACAGCGCCCTTACTGAGTTGAAGGTGGTGATTAAGTATTTGAGAGGATTAGTTTTTGGGGGTAACTACACATGGTAAATTTGAGGTGTTTGACAGAAATGCTAATTAAGCAGTTATTGGAGGTATTAGAAGAGATTCATCTTTAGGTAGAGAGATGGATTGGATGAGATTCTTTACAAATGCAAAAAATCTGACAATTTTTTTTTTCTTTTCTTTTTTTTTTCTAGATGGAGTCTCACTCTGTCGCCAGGCTGGAGTGCAGTGGTGCCATCTCGGCTTACTGCAGTCTCTGCCTCCCGGGTTCAAGCGACTGTCCTGCCTTAGCCTCCCAAGTAGCTGGGATTACAATAAGGATTCAGTATTTGTTAGGACGTGTTAAGTATGGAGGAACTGAGTTAAGTGACAATCCAGGCAGAAGGGTTTTAAATGTTTTCATTACTTCATACATTTAAGAGCTTGAGATTTTTTTCTATGTAATTCCTAAGCTTTTAATTTTATTTTACAATGATTGTTGGCATGTGTAGTTTCTGACGTCAGCATCTTGCCCAGCTTACCAAGACTGGCTACTATCTTTCTTGAATCTTTTTTGCATCATGTGAGCTGTCTATAGCTTCTAACTCACTGATGCCATTGCACTGTGGCGAAACATTTGGATTGTGCATCAAGCACATGGGGAATGGCACATTTTCCTCCATTCTCTTGGCTTTGAGGGGACTGTCTTCCTTCACGGATCATGAAGTCAGGAGTTCAAGACCAGCCTGGCCAACATGGTGAAACCCTGTCTCTACTAAAAATACAAAAAATTAGCCGGGCATGGTGGCAGTCACCTGTAATCCCAGCTATTTGGGAGGCTGAAGCAAGGGAATTGCTTGAACCCGGGAGGCAGAGGTTGCAGTGAGCCAAGACAGCACCACTGCACTCCAGCCTGGGCAACAGAGCGAGACTCCATCTCGACAACAACAACAACAACAGCAGCAACAACATCTCTAAATAGGCCAGACGCGGTGGCTCACACTTGTAATCACAGCACTTTGAGAGGCTGAGGCAGGCAGATCATGATGTCAGGAGTTTGAGACCGGCTTGGCCAACACAGTGAGACCCCAACTCTACTAAAAATAACAAAAAATAGCTGGGCGTGGTGGCAGGCGCCTGTAGTCCCAGCTACTCGGGAGGCTGAGGCAGGAAAATCGCTTGAACCTGGGAGGTGGAGGTTGCAGTGAGCTGAGATGGCACCATTGCACTCCAGCCTGGGTGAATGCCAGACTCCATCTCAAAACAACAAAAAACCCTCTAAATTTGGTTTTCACTATTGACCCTGAGCCAGCCAGGTCGCTGTGAGCTGCTGCCGGTGATCGCTGAGGGTCACTCAACCTCAATGCCAGCATATCAGATGGTTTTGTCAGGTTTTCTGAACTTAAAAAAGCACTCGCCATGGCAACTTGAGTAAAAAATAATTACCTATAATGTCTATAGGCTTGTACCCTTCAGTGTAAGTACAGAAAAGACTGAAACAAATTAAGGATCTAATGTTTAAAATGCAGGTTACTATCCAGATTCCCATCTGAAAACTGGTCAGGGTCAGTAATTCTACCTATGGCTAGGAGGATTCTTCTGAGTATTAGGTAGGCGAACGTACCTCAAACGCTTAGCACATTACCCAGCACGTAAAGCGCTTAGCCAATGTTAGCAGCTGTATGATAATCCCTTCTAAGAAACATAGTCCCACTCTACAAATGAGGAAACACTGAGAAGTGACATTCTAACCTAAAGTCACCAACATTCACTCCAGTGGATACTGAGGCTTCTCCTATAACACTCTACAAAATGTTGTGATCAAGAAATGAAGTAGACCTCCCTCACACCAACGTACACACCCAACCTGCTCCCACAACTGTCGGACTGGGAATGGCAGAAAAGGTAAGAAATCCAGAGAAGTCCCCACAGTGCCAGTTCCCCAAAGGACCAGAGACCACGGTACCTTGGTTGCCCATGGCACTGGGAAATGTGAGCCATCTCATGGCATGACTGTACCGAGCATAGAGAGTGCTGAATTTACCAGACATCTAGACCATTTGGATTTTTCACCACTGATTTATATAAAGGAATGTGGGAAGCTTTTTTGAAAGAACAGCATTTACCTTGAAGGGCTTTCCTAAAAGAGATGCCTTTTTAAAACAATGCCATAGGATTAGTGGTTAAATCTCTTAACACATGCACAGCATATGCTGCCCAGCTACTGAGGTGAAGAGTCTAAGCTAGATTTATTTCTGAGGAACAAAGACCAAAAGACTGCCTTTAGAGCTCTATACCTAGTCAGTCACCTTGGGCTGAACTACAGAAAGAACTGGACAACTAACACCTAAAATGCTGAAAACAAAGACACATACAATTCCAGGTGTGGATTTTTATTTTCACAAAAAGACAACAATGTCTTCCCACATACAAGTATTTACAAAACCCAACTGATTCACCCATCTAGAACCTGGGTTTTTTTCCACTTCTCAACATAGTTGGGAACATGGAAACATTAATACCCACACAATTCCCAGAGATGGAATTTATCCATCAAACAGTGCAGATTACCTAAAAGTGCACTTACCTGCACAACTCGGTCTAAGAACCTTGTGAAACAAACCTCATGGCCAAGGTTTCATGAATCTATTTGGTTTCATACCATGCAAACCTGAACAAGTGTGCTGCTACACTAAACTGAAAATCGGTTCTCATTTTACAATTAAAAAGGTTCTCAACACTTTAGCAACTATACAGAATATGAAGGTTTATTTCAAAAAAGATTACATTTTTTTTAAACCAGGATACACAGATGCACTTAATGTAACAGTACCTTCTGCAAAAATAGGTTACATAATACTCAGAAATGCAATGAACAATCTTATTCTCTAAAAATTAGACAGCTAAGACTTCTTAAGCATAGACAGCCTTCAAAATGGAGGCTGAAAATGCTTAGTGAAAAGAAGTAACTCTAGAGCCAGACACCACAGAGCTAAGGCTGCAAATTAAACCACTACCACACAGCTGCAAACTACTCTTTATATTCACACAGCGTTCAACAAAACGACTTCAATTCCATCTTTTCAAATGTGTCTCGGTGCTGCAAGAAAAAAAGTTGAATGATACACAAAACTATTAAAAGTTACAACAGAACTATTTAAACATCTTCTCCAAAATTGAGAAAAGCAATCATGTTAAATTTTTAAAAAGAAAAGTCTGACAGAACTCTCAAGCAAGTCAGAGGTCCTTTTCATAAGTAGTCAAGTAAAGTTTACAGGAGATTTCAATAAATTATCATAAAACCACGGCAGAGAGCTCATTTTCAGAATCGTCGTGGAGGTCCACCCTTAAATGGCTTAAATCCGGAGCCACTTCCTCTTGGCATGGAATTGCCACTGATTTGTACAATTCTATTAATTGGGGATGCGTTACTGAAAAAGGTTTAAAAGAAAAAAAGTCAGAGAACAAAGAACAAATCATCACTGCAAATACTTATGCAGCACTTAACATTTGCCAGGCACTGTTCTTGGTACTTTATCCAAAATAAATCATTTACTCTTTTCAACAGTCCCCTGAGGTCTGAACCATTACTAACCCCACTTTACTGATGAAGAAACAGATCTGGAGGTTGAGGAACTCGTCCAAGGTCACAGAGCTAATAAAATGGTGGAGCAGAGATCTGAACTTGGGCAATCTCACTTTGAAGTCCCATTACTTCAGAAGCCAGTTGCAGATCTGCATGTGGATGGACTTCAGCAGCAGATCTCTTAAGTGTGGACCCCAAACCAGTAGCAGTAGCACCAGCTGGGGGCCTGTTAGAAATGCAAATTCTTACCCCCATCTCAGACCACTGAGAAAGAAACGCTGGGGGTGGGACTCCCAGCAACCTGTTTTTCTTTGTTTGTTCTTTTAAATATATATATTTTTAGACAGTGTCTCACTCACTTCACCCAGGCTGGAGTGCAGTGGCACAATCACGGCTCACTGTAGCCGCCTTGACTTCCTGGACTCAGGTGATTCTCACACTTCAGCCAGCCACCAGAGTAGCTGGGACTACAGGCAAGTGCCACCATGCTCAGCTAATTTTTTAATTTTTAGTAGAGACAGGATTGCACCATGTTGGCCAGGCTGATCTCGAACTCCTGGGCTCAAAAGATCTGCCAGCCTTGGCCTCCCAAAGTACTGGAATTACAGGCAGGAGCCACCACGCCCAGCCAACCTGTGTTTTAACACACCCTCCAGGTGATTCCGTTGTTTGCTAAAGTTTGTGAGCTAAATTATAGGAAGTCATTTAAAAAATATTTCTGGAATCTTTATGTGCAATGCAACAGAGCAGATGTTAGTAACACAAAAAAGCAGACCTTCTCCTCCGACAAAAAACCTTTAACAAGCCAGGCACAGTGGCTCACACCTGTAATCCCAGCACTTTGGGAGGCCGAGGTGGGCGGATCAAGGAGAACTGCTTGAACCCGGAGGCAGAGGTTGCAGTGAGCTGAGATCGTGCCACTGTACCCCAGCCTGGGTGACAGAGTGAGACTCCATCTCAAAAAAGAAAAAACTTTAACAAACCAGGAGATGAAAATTTACAGTGAAGGCCGGGTGCAGTGGTTCATGCCTATAATACCAGCACTTTGGGAGGCTGAGGCTGGAGGATCACCTGAGGAACAGGAGTTTGAGACCAGCCTGGCCAAGAAAGTGAAACCTCCATCTCTACTAAAAATAAAAAAAATTAGCCGAACGTGATGGCACACACCTGTCCTAGCTACTTGGGAGGCCGAAAGAGAATCACTTGAACCCAGGAGGCGGAGGTTGCAGTGAGCTGAGATAGCGCCACTGCACTCCAGCTTGGGGGACAGAGACTTCGTCTTGTAAAAAAAAATATTGTCTACAGTGAAATGGTTCAGGCAGAATAAAACTAGATTATAAAAAGGCTTAAATGCCAGACTAAGGAATCTGGGCTCGATCCTGTGACTTGGAGCAGCTGCTTGTTATAGTTTTAGAGCAATAAATGGTTTAACAAAATGGGAGTTTCAACAGTTCAATTTACAAATAGGGTAATGGAACACAAAAATAATAATTTGGGAAGATCAGACAGAAGCTAAAATGAGGAATAAGGGATAGTTATGATAAACTTTTTTTTTGTAGAGACAGAGTTTTGCCATGTTGCCCAGGCTGGTCTTGAACTCCTCAGTTCAAGCGATCCACCTACCTTGGCCTCCCAAAGTACTGGGATTACAGGCATGAGCCACTGCGCCCAGCCTGAGAAACATTTTTTTAAAAAAATGGAGCCACACAGCTGGGTACAGTGGCTCATGCCTATAATCCCAGCACTTCAGCAGGCCGACATGGGCAGATCACAAGGTCAGGAGTTCGAGACCAGCCTGGCCAACATGGTGAAACCCTGTCTCTGCTAAAAATACAAAAATTAGCTGGGCATGGTGGTGCACGCCTGTATTCCCAGCTACTCACTTGAACCTGGGAGGCAGAGGTTGCAGTGAGCCGAGACTGTGCCACTACACACCAGCCTGGACAGAGCAAGACCCCGTCTCAAAAAAAAAAAAAAGAACCACACTTAGAAGTTTATGCTAGGAATGAAGAAAGGTAAGGACAAGTCCCGTTTTTCCAGTCAGGGTGAGTGAAATGGATGGTGGCACTATCAAATTAAAAGAAGCTGCAGGCAACAAAAGGGACACAAAGGTTTGAAACAGGAGAAGAATGAGTTTGACTGTGACCTTGAATTCATGGATGCAGCAAAGCACTTACATGGCAGTGGCAACATGAAGCTGAAAGGAAACAGCAGTGTCTAAAGCTTAGCCATGGGAAGGAGCCTGCAAAGGCAGTCACAAGGGCAGAAAGAAAGTAATGGTGCCCTAGAAAACAGACTCCCTCAAAATAAAGATAAATGACCATGTGAAACAGTGTTTAACCACCAAGGAGTCGAAAACCATGAAAATAAAAGAATCTATATTTATCAGGAGAAAAGTCATCAGTGACCTTTACAAACCGGATACAATGAATGTTGAGCTTGTGCAGGCAGAAGCAGCACACTTACTGAAGTTTGATGGTAGAAGTGACCATGGAATAATAGTGACCTGGGTCACTGAGTCAAGTCAGTATCTCTCCTAAGAGGAATGGGAAAGAAAGGAGGACGTGAAAGAGATGGGGAAGCTGAAGACCTGCTGGCTCGGTGTGAAGAGAAAGTAAAGCTCGCCTCTTTTTTTTTTTTTTTTTTTTTTGAGACGGGGGGTCTGTTGTTTCTCCCAGGCTGGAGTGCAGGGGCGCGATCTGGGCTCACTGCAAGCTCCGCCTCCCGGGTTCACGCCATTCTCCCGCCTCAGCCTCCCAAGTAGCTGGGACTACAGGCGCCCGCCACCACGCCCAGCTAGTTTTTTGTATTTTTAGTAGAGACGGGGTTTCACCATGTTAGCCGGGATAGTCTCGATCTCCTGACCTCGTGATCCACCCGCCTCGGCCTCCCAAAGTGCTGGGATTACAGGCTTGAGCCACCGCGCCCGGCCCAAAGCTCGCCTCTTAACGTATGAATAGATTTTGTGTTACATGTCTAAAAGCTCTGCCAGGAGTTATTTTAAATAACAGGGAGGAAACAGAACACACTTTCAATTTTTTCTTCCTAAGAATTTGAGGAATGCTAGGTAGGGAACAAGATGATGGTTCCAATGTGAGGTTAAGACTCATTATCTAGACTGGTTGCAGCGGCTCCCGCCTGTAACCTCAGCACTTGGGGAGGCTGAGGCAGGCGGATCACCTGAGGTCTAGAGTTCGAGACCTGCCTGGGCAACATGGTGAAACCCCGTCTCTACTAAAAATATAAAAATTAGCTGGGCATGGTAGCGCATGCCTGTAGTCCCAGCTACTTGAGAGGCTGACATGAGAGAATTGCTTGAACCCGGGAGGCGGAGGTTGCAGTGAGCCGAGATCTCACCACTGCACTCCAGCCTGGGCAACAGAGTGAGACTCCATCTCAAAAAAACAAAAAACAAAACAAAAAGATTCATTATCTACTGGATCCTACCATACATACATACCCATATCTAGATCAACTTGCCAGAACGTCACTGAATTCATTTACAAGGAAGAATACAAAGTAACACATTGATATCAGCTGTTCTGCACACAGTCTTTTGGAGACTCTGAGTTGATACAGGGAAATGTTCAGGCCGACCTAGGGTTTTCGCTAGTTGCAGTTCAGTGTCTCAGAAACTATAATGACTTTTATGGAAAGGATCAAGTGTTGGTTGTGTGCTGGCAGAAAAAGTCTAAACTGGTTAGTAGTTATTTACCTTGAATGTTGGGTTATCATGCCTGCTCCTGCCCGGCCATCACCCATTCGCCTCGTATCATGATAGCTAGGCCCTTGAGAGGGTGGACCATGCCACTCTTTCCTTGGTCCGCTTGTGTCCCGTCCATGGCGTTCAACCACATGTCGCTCCTCAGGATAGTGCTAAAAGAATAGCATATGAAAAGTCACTTGGGCGGGCGCAGTGCCTCATTACCTGTAATCCCAGCACTTTGGGAGGCTGAGGCAGGAGGATCATCTGAGGTCAGGAGTTCGAGACCAGCCCGGCTAACATGGTGCAACCCCATTTCTACTAAAAATACAAAAAATTAGCCAGGCATGGTGGCCCACACCTATAATCCCAGCTAGTCAGGAGGCTGGGGCAGGAGAATCACTTGCACACTCCAGGAGGCGGAGGTTGCAGTGAGCTGAGATCACGCCACTGCACTCCAGCTTGGGCAACGATAGTGAAACCCCATGTCAAAAAAAAAAAAATCACGACACCCTCAGTCTCGGTCTCATACCAAATTATATTGGTGTGCTTTTAATGTCAGAAGCAAATTAATAAGATGTCTGAGAAGATAAAAGGATGAGTAGTGCAACAGCATATGGAAAGAGTTTGTATCTATTTTGTAGTAAGAAGCTACTCAGGCTTCAGGGAAGGGTATGGAGGAAATGATTCAATACTTTTTGTTGTTGTTGTTTTGTTTTTTGAGATGGAGTCTCGCTCTGCTGTCAGACTGGAATGCAGTGGTGCGATCTCGGCTCACTGAAACCTCCGCCTCCTGGGTTGGAGCAATTCTCTTGCCTCAGCATCCCAAGTAGCTGCAACTACAGGCATGCGCCACCGTGCCCAGCTAATTTTTGTATTTTTAGTGGACACAGGGTTTCACCATGTTGGCCAGGATGGTCTTGATCTCTTGACTTCATGATCCGCCCACCTCGGCCTCCCAAAGTGCTGGGATTACAGGTGTGAGCCACCGTACCCAGCCAATTCCTGTTTTTAAAAATAATTTTTTTTGGAGACATGATCAAGTGCTGCCTAGGTTGGAGTACAGTGTTGCTACCATAACTCACTGCAACTGTGAACTCCTAGGCTCCAGCAATTCTCCTGCCTCAGCCTCCTGCCTAGCTGGGACTACAGGGTGCACACCACCATGCCCAGCAAATTTTTTAATTTTCCTATGGAGATGGGGTCTCACTATATTGTCCAAGCTGGTCTCGAACCTCTGGCCTCAAGTAATCCTCCTGCCTTGGCCTCCAAAAGTGCTGGGATTACAGCCATGAGCCACCAGGCCTGGACATTAATTTCTATTTCTATATTTTCTAGCACCCAAGGGCTTTTTGACCCTTGATTATTTCAAATACTTGGATCTTATATTGACTGTAAGAACGCACAGACAGAGATCAAAACCTTAGGACAAGCCACGGCGGGGCCTATGATCAGCCTATCAGGACAACATGCAAACGGCACAGAAAACAGGAGTTGTCAACTTATTTTACATCGTACTAGTTAGTGCTATGGCACTTACAAGGTGCTACATCTGTAACTATGGAAAACAGTAGCAAACACAAAGAAACAGAAACTGTAGAACTAGGGATCTAAGGAAAGAGAAAGCAAGCATTGTGATACTTAGCTTACAGGAAAGAAAGCAGAAGGTACCCACAGAGAGACTTAGATATAATACTGGCAGAACAATTTACAGACTAACACTATGAAAAAGAAAATTTTCAAGGGAGGATACAAGATCTCTTCCTCAGGACACATTTTCTAAAAGGACATCTGAATGTAGAGGGCTGGTCTTTGAGACTTTCTTAAATTTTACTGTAAACAAGGCAGACTTATCTGGATTATAGACTCAGTCTTAAAAATTCTGTTTAGGGGTGGGCGTGATGGTTCATGCCTGTGATTCCAGCACTTTGGGAGGCAGAGGAGGGTGAATCACCTGAGGTTGGAAGTTTGTAACTAGCCTGGCCAACATGGTGAAACCCCACCTCTACTAAAAATACAAAAATTAGCCAGGCGTGGTGGCTCACATCTGTAGTCCCAGCTACTCGGGAGGCTGAGGAAAAAGAATCGCTTGAACCTGGGAAGCAGAGGTTGCAGTGAGCCGAGATCACGCCACTGCATGTCAGCCTGGGTGACAGAGTGAGACTCCATCTCAAAAACAAACAAACAAACACACTAATATGTATTAAAATACAAAACAAACACCAGCATATAATGGAGACACACACACTGCACAATTCTTTTTGGTATATAATTTATGAAAGTATGTCCTAACTGTGCTACTATCAACCCATATGCCAGTATTTCATCAGTAGAATACTTTTAAATGAGGCAAAAGGTTTTTGTTCATTTCAGTCTCTAACAGATGAAGATACTTTCCTCTGTCCAGCTGATTAACTTACAAAATATTCAAGTCAATATAAGTGTCACAAGAATAAAAATTTAAAAATATGTAACGTTACACTCATCTATCTTTAGGATAAGAAGACAAAAAACAGACAAAGGTCTATTTCAATTTTACACTTTAAGCTACTTAAATGAAGCAGGAGAAAAAGATGTATGTGTGTATACATATATATAAAAATATATACATACACACACACACACACACACACACACACACACATATATATATATATTTTTTTTTTCCCCAGACAGGGTCTGGCTCTGTAACCCAGGCTAGAGTGCAGTGGCGCCATCTTGGCTCACTGCAACCTCCAACTCTTGGGCTCCAGCGATTCTCCTGCCTCAGCCTCCAGAGTAGCTGGGATTACAGGCGCACACTACCACACCCAGCTAATTTTTGTATTTTTAGTAGAGATGGGGTTTCACCATGTTGCCCAGGCTGGTCTCAAACTCCTGAGCTCAGGCAATCTGCCCACCTTGGCCTCCAAAAGTGTTGGGATCACAGGCATGAGCCACCATGCCTGGTCAAGAATATTTTATGAAGAAGGAAAAAGTGAAAAGGAAGCACAAATAGGGGTCACAGATTTCAGATCCAGTTTGAAAGCCTCAATTTCTTAAAAAGAAATAAAACCAAAGTTATCATTAGACAGGCTCATTTATCAAATTAACAATTCTTAAATTTCACTAGGAAGTTTAATCAAAATGGAGTATTTCAAGGCTAGTACCTTAACTCTTTGGACTACTGATGGTCAACTCTGACAGTAAAGTATGAGAAAAATTCAGATTAATTTTAAAAATTAAAATTAAAAATTAATGCCTCTCAATCATTCCAATCTAGCTAGGCCATATCAAAATGTTACTGTATATCCAGAGTAGCTCATGAATCCTCTAAATGTATGTGTGCAGGCTGGAGGCAAGCCTCCCGCAGCATTTACCTGTGATCCACCTCGGTCTGTGATGACTCCTCTGTCTCCCTCTCTGCTCCCGTACCCCGAAGCGCTGCTACGATTCCCAGGGGCAGCACCTCTCACGCTGTGCCCTGATACTTCTCTCCCAGATCGTTCTGGCCTTTCGACTCTGTTAAACAAAACATAAAAACATACATGATCCAAACTGTAATTTTTTTAACCCCAAGGCATGAGACCACTAGGAAAGCATTCTGAAGTACACAGCTACCTTGTTTCCCGTTTGTCAGTGGACATACTTCCTTCACTTTTCCAGCTGGTAGGTCTGGAAGGATTGGGCCCTGCCTCTCGAGGATGTCTAGGATGAGTGATATCAGGCCTGTCATGAATAATCACCGTTCTCCTTTCATCTCGCTCCCCTCGAACTTCTCGCCTGTCTGATTCTCTAAGTTCGTTTCTTGGTGGAGGCTCATTTCTTCTGGAGTCACTGAAATTTTTGGGATATCTTTCGAAGCTTGGATCTTCCCTTCGTGCAGTAGGTCGTGCTTTTTTCCCCTCACTTTGACCAACAAAGCGATCCCGCCTATTGATTAGAAACAAAGAATATAGGTCCAAGAAGTGCTTACTTGAGTGCTTAATTCTTCTTAACTTTGTCTGCATAACCTATAATGATGAAACCAAAAAATGAACTTAAGGCAAAGCCATGGAAAAAAGCTAGTCATTGATTATTACAAGTCATTTTCTTTTAAACTGAACTAAGTGTCTAGCCTAAGGTTGGTTTTCTTAGTGTTCAGGAGAAATGATACCAAACACTCAAAGTCGCTTCCAAGCTGAAGAATGTTTTACTGTTCTTAACAGTTGAGGCACATCCAAAGTGATCAGTGCTCCCACAGTTTTAAAGATAAGAAGAGGCCCGGCGCGGTGGCTCATGCCTATAATCTCAGCACTTTGGAAGGCCGAGGTGGGTGGATCACTTGAGGCCAGAAGTGCTAGATAAGCCTGGCCAACATGGCAAAACCCCATCTCTACTAAAAATACAAAAATTAGCCGGGCATGGTGGTGGTGCATGTCTATAATCTCAGCTACTTGGGAGGCTGAGGCACAAGAATCATTTGAACCCAAGAGGCAGAGGTTACAGTACGCCAAGATTGCACCACTGTGTTCTAGCCTGGGAGACAGGTGGGACCCTGTCTCAAAAAAAATAAAAATAAAATAAAGATAAGAAGATAAAGCCAACCTACTTAATGGTGTTCTAGTTAATTAATTTGGAATACTGAACCACATTCCCATTAACAGAAACAAAAACCATATAATTTGTTCTGAGCATTCAGTTCTGACCTGGTACTTCTTAATTAAGATTTTAGGAGAAACAGAGTTATCACTAGCAAGGCTCATAAAATAAATGTAACAATTTTCAACACATCTACCTTTCAAAAGATGAAGACTGTACTGCTGAACTCTCAGGAAACCTGCCCCTCTCTCGGTGATCAAAGTCATTAAATCTGTTCTGTTGGCGAGAGTAGTCAGATCCATGGCCAAATCGTGCATCTGTATCTAGAGACAACTTTTTATTCTCGCTCCAGTAAGGATCATCTCGCCTTGAAGAGAAATATTTGCTCATTTACATAAATCAGTTCTACAGTAATCAAACGACATTTACTTGGAGTCATACATACCACATGTTAGAACTGTGGACACAAAAGGGCTAATAAACTCAAGACATAACACACTCAGGAGTACAAACTAGCAAAGACTTAATTGTTGAATTACGTAAAGTCAAATAGTGTGAGAGGAATTTAACAGGAGAGAAAAATAGTTGAAAAACTGCATGTCTTATAATTATTAAATGGAAAAGACAAATAAAATACTTGAAACCACTTTATAATAAAATTCTAACCAGCAGTTCACAACCTCTTCAGTTAACTTTGGAAATATTAGAGTGGCAAGTCAGAAGCACAGTTCATTCATTCCACCTATTTCTCTACACAATCAACTCATTTTAATAGAATTTATGTTAAGAAAATTAAATGGGCATACTTATATTTTTAAATCTATATGAAGTATGAATCCAAGCACACAACAGAATGTATCTTTCAATCTCAAGTTTAAGACTTCCATTTCTATACTATCTGCACTACCTTTTTAAGAATGTTCAAAATCTGTTTAATTATTATTGAAGCCTATTACGACAATGTATTTCCAGTCATAACGAAAAACGTTTGGCATCAGAAAGGTAGACAGGGAAAGAAATGCGGACTGTTCCCACTTGCCAGTGCACTGGGTCTACCCCAGTACTGTAATCCTTCCAATCCCTGTTGATCATGACTTTTATTTCAGTGATGGGAGTCTATACTTTCTACTTCTCTAGTCTTAGCCTAAAGGGAATAAAACAGCAAGTGTAACTGTTAAGGAAAAAAGTGAGTAACTACCTATGATCTACATCACGTGGGCGTTTCAAGGAATTCCTTTTTTCTTGTTCATAACGAAGTTGTTGTTGTTGCCTTCTGAGTTCCTCTCTTTCTCGAGCAATCCGTTCAGCTTCCTTACGACGTTCCTTCAGACAACACAGAAGGAAGAACCAACCAAGGCAAAATGAAAACATAAGATAAGTATACATGCAACCTTGTTTTAATCCTGTCGCTAAGAAACCATCATAAGCAAAGACCAAGCAAAACACAAACCTATGACACCTAAATTTGATTTCAATAATCTAGGCTATAGCTATTGTTCTGCAACATTAAAAATAACAAGGACTGGGTGGTGAAAGTTGGCAAGTATTTGGGAAGGTCAAGTTTAGTTTAATCATTCAACTAAAATAAAAGCACCTAAAGGGAATTAGAAATAGCGTTCTTAATATGTATGGAGACTAAGTGCCTTAAAACCCTGAGGTGCAATTCTGCAAAGAGAGGCATTATTTCCTTCCAGCCTTGGGAAATCATTCCCACTATAATATGTAAGGAAATCATTATTATTTTCTAAGACTGGGATAGTGACAGAGCCTGGATTACAACTACTCTGGACTCATAGTCCTATGCTCAGACTATTAGGCTGCCATGATATTGCAGAGCTAGAATTATTACCCGTTATGTAGAACAAAGTCACTACTAATTGTATTTTTAACTAGTACCTAATTCACTGTTATCTTTCAGGGACACTTAAAAGCTCATGAGCTAAACTCATTCTATAGACGCTTTACAACAAGTAAAGCAAATTTTAGGGCTAAAATCACAGAGTTTGAAAAAGGTGAGTTATTTAAGATGAAAAGATTTTCTGACTGCACCTGTTCAATACGAATGCGTTCCCTTTCCAAGCGTTCGCGTTCCATTCTCTCTCTCTCTAGTTTTTGCCTTTCAATTTCTAGGCGCTCTCTCTCTCTCTGTAAGCGTTCCCGTTCTTCCCGTTCACGAATTATTCTAATGCGTTCTCGCTCTCGACGCTCTCTCTCTGCAATCTCTCTTCGTCTACCAAAAATCAGTATTTAGAAATACTTAAATTATGCTAGCACTGTGTGAAAGAGAATAGCTTTGAATTTGAATTTTTCCTTGAGGTTGGCAATTTAAAATTTCAACTCAATCTAAGTAGTTTTAATGTAATTGGAAAGAGAATTCAAAGTAAAACTTTAAACAGATCCCAATATTTTCACTTATTTATAAATAAGACTGTCAACTGAGCAGCTAAATTTTATAATATAGAGTAGTTGCCTCTTAGATGATTCCTGTTTAAATAAAAATCACTATAACAATAGTCCATTAATTAACTGACATTTTAGAAGGATGTAATCTGCATATATAAATTTACAAAACTACAACTTCCAACACTTGTTTTTGATGGAAAAAGCTCTAATGCCTATTATATATTCTATTGTATCTCCTTAAACAAAGTATATACTTTATTTTGATGATTTGGGATCATAACAATGAACATCAACAATAGCAAATACTACATACAACAAAATGGTGTCTTTAAGGGCTATTTTGGAATGTTTACTATCCTATAATAGATGGCTCCAGGTAATGTGTTTTCTGAGTCAGAGGTAGTTCAACTGTTTGCTGAACTGAATTGTTATTGTATTAGACTTTTAATGTTATTTTCTTACTGTAAGGTAGTCAGTGTCCTTTTCTGTCTATCATTGGCATGTCTTTCTCTAGTAACGCAGTGGTTCTCAATGGGTCAGTACTATTTCTACAGAAATCAATGGGGTATTTTTAATTATCACAATGACCATGGGGCAGATACTAGCATTTAGTGTATGAGGATGAAGGAATCTAAGCATCTTATTGATGCATGGAATAGTGAGGATAGTCGTACACAGTAAGAACCATCCAACACTTCTCATACCTTTCAGATGCCACAATGGACATTCACACCATTAAAAACAACCAAATGCCTTAAGCAAAAATAACATGTGAGTCTAGAACTCAACCCCATTTTTAATAAATACTAAGTTTGTCTGCTTTGATATGATTTATGTATTTTAGAATTTCCAATAATGCAACTCTATATAAATAGAAGGAAAATTATACTTTCTTGAGACTTTTACCAAGAGTTGCTCACCATTTCAGAAATCATGTCATAATGTCAACACTACTTCTGGTATTTACTAACCAATACAACATATCACTGACATACAATGTCAGTCTGTATTTGGAGCTGTCCCATTCTCAGTGAGTCTAAATAGGGATGCAAACATCTGACTACTTCATTAAGTCATGCCTAAACATTCCTATCTGGAATACATATTTTTATTATAAATTACTTTTATTTCTCCTTTATATTATAGTTAAGCCATTACTTTTATTTTTGGAAATTATTAGTATAGGTTAAGTATGTTACGCATCAGTTTCATTTCAGGAGAGTAAAGGCATTGCAACATTTTTTAATATAAAAGGGATTTTGGTCTCATACGGTTTGAGAATCACTGGTCTAGTTGACCCTCAATCCCACTCTCCTCTCAATCTGTTGTCAACTAAATAAACAGGAAGCTAGGCACATTTGGACTTCATCTTAAAAAAAAGAAAATGGGTTCTATGTGCTATAAGGATTACTTCCTTTTAGTAAAGTTGTGTGTCAATTATTATGCAGAATAACCTAAGTTGCTAAAAGTATCTCTGGTAGTTCCCAACACTCTCATGAATGAATAGATGAAATCCCATGATAAGTAACCCCTGGACAAGATAGGTTAACATTTGAAATAATATACTACAAAACACACCCACAAGACTATTTTAAGTGGCATCCAAAAATTGATATACAAAAGTAAACTGACACTCATGATGAACTGTTGAGATATGGCCACTAAAAATGGAAACATCTTGCTTTGTTTATATTTTCCATTTGTTTTAAAGAGAATGCTTGCTTTGGGATACAATCTGAATACCATTAGGCTCACAGGGCAAATCTTCCTTCTCTTAGGCACTAATACAAACAATAAATTTTTGCTAAATTTGTTAAAATGTCAGATTACAGTATTTGAACACTATAGCTACTCTGAAACTATCTTATCTCAAATTTTTCCTTTAAAGTCATGTTTTTTATGGCAGCAGCTTTGGTGTTGAGGAAAGAGCATTGGACTTGGAGTCAGAAGACTTGGGTCTGAGTCCCGACTCTGCCACTTGTTAGCCATGTGGGCATTGGAAGAGTCATTTAGCCTCTCTGGGCCTCCACTTTTTTCAATTGTATAATGGGCATAAGTAGCCTTATAGAACTGTTGAGTTGGAGATAACAGATGGAAAGCACTTTGTAAATTGTAAAGTGCTATGCAAACTTAAGAAATCATTAGATGCTACCGTACTTCTTTAAGGTGTTAAACAGTTTTCTGTGGGAATACAATTTCCAGAAATCTGGCTTATAACCAGTGTTAAATATTTACCTATATTTAAAGACAGGTATAAAACAGACACTCTTCCTACCTTCGAAGTTCCATTGCTCGTCGCAGCCTTTCAAAACGAACTAAATGTTCTCTCAACCTTTGTTCCTTCATCTTTTCAAAAGGCAAGATCTCTTTCCTTCTGTAGTCTTTATCTCTTTTTTTATCTAGACTAGCTCTCTCCTTTTCCTTACTTCTCCCATGAATCTATAGAAAAAAATTAGAAGAACACTAGAAATTAAAATATTTTGGGGCTTTATTTTTCAAGTTTAGCAGGTCATTTAAAAAGTTCAAATGACTAGTAACATTTCCTTTTTCTTGGGTTTGCTAGCATGCAAGTATGCAAAGATGGTTACGGAAAAACAGAATTATCTTCTTTTGTAAACAGCTGAAGTAGTATACAGCCATCCTGATCAGAGACTTACTTTCTCATATCTTCCTCTTCTTGATGGTCTACAATGATCTCCTTTAGTTTGGTCTAATATTACCATATGTCCTGGACTCTTTGAACCTAAGGGAAAAAAATTATATAACACAAATGTCTAAAAATTGTCATTGAAAAAGAAAATACGTATGTAAAAATGCTAACTTCTGATAGTCACACACCAATACAAGAAATAAAAAACCTACTTATTCTACAAGAACTTAAATGCAAAGAGTTTTTTAAACAGTTCAGTCTGCTAACATAAATACTTTCAGTGATACCAAAAGATCCTAATTCAATAGTACTAATCAATGACCATTTTAAGTCAGCCCAGAATAGCAAAGGAGGTTAGCTGGAAGAAAACATTTGTTTGTTTCCCCAGAGTAGAAAAGAAGACAATTACTCCTACTAGACCTCCTTTCCTACCACAATGACACCTAACAACAAAGCTTACACCTCCGGATTATAATTTCAGGTTTTCCCTTCCACTGTAAAAATTAAGCAGTAGAATGCATTAGAAAGGGATTGAAAAGATATATAGCATACTTATTCGCTTCTTTTCTTCACTTTTTTTAATCGATTCTGATGTTTGGCCACTTGCTCCATTATCATTCTTCTCATCTTTACCTTCTATTTTCTTAGTATCCTTGCTTTCTTTTTTTTCAGATTTCTCAGATGATCTTTTCTCTTCTTTTTTGACAGAGGCTTGTGTCCTGACCATACCACCCCAGACAAAAAAACCAGAATGAGTACTTCATAATGTACCAAAAAAGTCTGTTTATCGAAATAAATAAAAATAATAAATCCTTACTTGCTACTTCTGTCACTCATATTTTTTTTATCTCCGGAACTTCTTGAACTACTCTTTTCATCATTTTCTTTCTTCATTTCTTTCTTAGAGGGATCACCTTTTACCTGAAACGTTTGAACCAGAAAAACAATTTATACATATGGTTACATTTTTGGGATTATAAAAAGTGTGTTAATGGCAGAAAATCTGGAAAAGATAGAAAATTATAAGGAAAGTAAAAACTACGAACACATAAAAATTAAAAATAATTGCAAATTCTACTCCCTGCTACTGTTAACAGCTATGAGTTGAGAACTAGCCATCAAATTCGACTTGCTTGGATAAACAATTAGGCAAGCTTACTTTTTCAACAGAAATCAGCTGTCCATGCAGCTCAGTGCGATGAAGATGTGCAATACACCTGGACACCTCTGTGCTTGAAGACATAGTTACAATGCCATAGCATTTTGCCCCAGGACTTCGAGCATTTGTAACTACTTTTGCACTCAGAACCTATAAAATGAGACTGTACTTTAGAGAGTTTTACAGTGTTCCAACTACACACACTTCTAGTTCCAACTACACACACTTCTAAATATATGAAACTTCAAAACGGAAACTATGTATTAATTCAGGGTGTATCTTATTCTGTTTCATATATATATGTATATATATTTTTTGAGACTGAGTCGCACTCTGTTGCCCAGGCTGGAGTGCAGTGGTGTGATCTCAGCTCACTGCAACCTCTGCCTTCTGGATTCAAGCGATTCTCCTCCCTCAGCCTCTCAAGTAGCTGGGATTACAGGCATGCACCACCACATCCTGCTAATTTTTGTATTTTTAGTACAGACAGGGTTCGCCACATTGGCCAGCTGGTCTCAAATGCCTGACCTCAGGTGATCGGCCTACCTCGGCCTCCCACAGTGCTGGGATTACAGGCATGAGCCACTGCACCCAGCCTATTTCATATTCTTGTGATCACCATCTACATTACCCATCTTAATAAATATTCAGGGGAACAATTTAAAGTGCCAAAAAGCAATTTAACCTTCTTTTTATATTTATTTCCTCCCCTCAAATATGTAGCCAAAGTAGCGAAAACAATCTCATCAGTAAGTAATGGCACAATTAATAAAAGCAAATAAATTGGATTTGAACCAAAATATCCCTATCATAGGCCCACCCTGAATGTCTTTAGAGAAAAAGTTTCCAGTATTTTAATGATGAGTGTTGATACTTTTCTATAATGAGTAAAGAATCAATCACATATAAAAAAGCAGACTTAAAAATGCACCCCCCAAAAAACACGCTAAAGCTTGAAAGACAACATTTTCAATCTATGTGCTTTTCAAATGTATATGAAAATGACAAATAATTTCAATTCTGTAAGATGGGTAGTTAAGAGAGACAAAGCAGGTATGGATGAGTGAGAAGAAAAGTGAGAGAGAACGATTCAGTGCTGAACAGAGTAAAGACATAAAGCTGCGAACAAGGAAACAGGAAAATCAGGAGTTTTATGGTGTGGGTGGCCGGAACCAACCAACTTTTACCTCAACCCTAGGAAAGGCTGATTTGCCCCATAGCCATTTAATTTTTAACTCTATGGGTCTTCCTAACAAATATATGGTATCCGCATATAGTTTTACTACTAATAAATATCAACATTAAAATATTGTTTTCACATCTCTAACAATATATTATTGAAAACAGAAGAAAAAATAACACAGCCTATCATGGGACTACAATTCTCAGTATTCTATTTCTGACACCTAAAAGAACCTCCTTTACACTGAGGCAACTCACTAATTAAAGCAGGAAAAAAAGCTTCTGAAAATCAAGAGGACAGGTTTTGGTAATATTAACGGCTATTTACCAATAATGGTCACTAATTCAGTAATTTCAATATTTGAAAGCCTATCATGTGCACATGAAGTACAGTAAATAAGGTCCCTGACCTCGAAGAGCTTACACTGGAGTACATTAACTATGACGTATATGAAAAACTGTAATGTAAGTAGACAGTATTGAGTGCCCTCAGGGATGCAGCTCACAATTCAAAGCATTCGTTATTAATGGAGTATTCTTTCACTACTCCTTCTCTTCCTTTAGGTCTCCCCTTAATTGCCGGAGAAACTTTTCCTGATGAACTAACCACAGTAAAGCCTCCCCCTTTTAACACCTGTGTACTTTTCCTTCGCAGCACTTAAAACAACTTCTGATTAAATTTATATATACAGGCATGGTGCAGTGGTTCACACCTGTAACCCCAGCACTTTGGGAGGCTCAGACAGGGGTGGATCACCTGAAGCCAGGAGTTTGAGACCAACCTGATCAACATAGTGAAAACCTCATCTCTACTAAAAATACAAAAATTAGCCCAGTGCAGTTGCTCATGCCTGTAATCCCAGTTACTGGGGAGGCTGAGGCATGAGAATAGTTTAAACTTGGGAGACAGAGGTCACAGTGAGCCCACATCACGCTGCTACACCCCAGCCTGGGTGACAGAGTGAGACTGGGCCTCAAAAAGAAAAAAAAAAGTTTATATATAAACTTAATATAGATACATGTTTGTATATAACTTTATATACGTTTAAACGATTCTAATGCCTATATAATAGCCAATTTTACATTTTTCTCCATTACTGGACTAGAAATCTATAACAAGGATCGTATATGTTTCCCCCCAGCCCCCACTGAATTATATATCCCACTGCCTAATAATAGTCTAAATATAAATATATTTTTTCAAGATGTCCAAATCAGGCTCAGCAATATGCCAGATCCCAAGCTACGTGCTACAAAGTATCATGATGAATAAACTTAGTCTTTGGCTTAAATAGGTTTAAAGTTTGGAATACAAAGATTCCCAAGGCTCAGAGACAGATTAAATGATCAAACACTATTTATCCCTTAACTCTCATCTACCATTACCACAGAATTCAGTAATTCAGTCTATTAACCGTCCTAAGAGATACAACAAATTAGAAGATATTTATGTAATAGTATTTAGAATACAATCCTCATTTCAAATGCAGATACTAGAAAGACGGATAAAAAGGTAAAAAGAATGTACCTTTCCATATTTGCCAAAGAGGTTCTTCAAATCAGCAGCTTTGGTATTAGATGAAAGTCCACTAACCCAGATATTTTTAGTTGAGCTTCCACTGCTACCACTAGTACTACTTGTACTTCCTAGAATAGATTTAATATCAGATGTTTAAGTATCTCAACCAGAATCTTTATACAAAATTAAAAGGGCCACATTCTTTCCAAACTATAATTTTGATAGTATGACATTACTATATAAAAATCCTGTGTTTATTATTATTGAAATCAAACAAGACAACATAACTAGTGAGGGAAAAAAATCTGAATGTATGTACATTTCCTATTGTATGAGTTCTAAGTTGAAGAGGGTAAAAAAATCAATTTGCTGTTCAGTTTTAATAATTTATAGTCTACCACTGCACTGAATAGAGACAACCAGGAAGCAATCACTTAGCAATGAACAGACTGTTTAGTTGCCACATCTGCTGTGGGCTTTAGATCCTTAGAAATTGACATGGAAGAAGAAAAAAGTCAGAGTAAGATATACATTTTTCAAGAATTTACATGGTTAATAACAAAGACAAACCAACTGGTACACCTTCATTCCCTATTAAAGAACAGGTAAGACAAAATGGGAATTATATGCAGCTGGATAACTCTAGAGTCAGTAAGAAACAATCTACTGAAACAACTACAAGATTAAAGATCAGAGATCTCAAAATCCTTTATAATAGGTAAATGATTATATGAATCATTTCTGTACTATGTCACACACGAATTATGGCTTCATACGTATAGAGGCCATATCTTAGGATACAGGCCTAGCCAGTCACCCTTTTCTTCGAATGTGCTGTAATAAAAGGGAAATTTTCATTCACTTGACTTTATCTGGAAAATAATTTTTACTCACTTTAAGAGAAACAGTATACAAGCAATTAAAAGGAACAATTTCTATATTTCACATTAAATGGAGAAAGAGTAAAAATTTTAGATGTTTTAAAAAATTACATGTGTTAACAGTTGTGAAGCTACTTTCAGCGTAGACTCAGAGGGAGAGAAGGTAACACATACCTGGCTCAAATATTTTAAATATTAATGGTTGATACTTGATTCTGTTCTTACAAAGGGTATTCATCAAGGACCTTATGAAATGTTAACTCAATGTTTGTGTATCATTTTTGTTACCAGTAACATTTGGGCCCAGATATGTTACTAATTACAGAAAAAAAATTTTTTTTTTCCTTAAAAGACCAATTGGCTTAAAATAAACTATAGAAGATGCATACAATTCTCCTTTACACATTTAGGAGGTACTTAAAAGCTTTGTAGTACCTGAATGTTTTATTTTCCCTTAAAATCCTTTTGTAGAAAGTATTTTTCAAGTAAACACAGCACATGTACAAGATGAAACTATAGCTCATGGGCATGAGATTTCTCAGTATCAGAAAGCAACTAAATATTGCACTTTGAAACTTACAAGAATTGAAAAAAAAGAAAAACGAACACTAGACTCCACAAATACACACAAGTATTATTTAATTAGCTAAGATATACTATTCAAAATTGTACCAGAAAGTATAATCTGTGAACAGGGAAAAGGTTGTGGTGATATACAGTAGTTATAAATGAGTTAACAAAAGATAAAATAGTTCTGAAATTATAATGTAAGAAAATATCTATTAATATCCAACACAGTCCCTTAGAACACACCAGGTAAGTGTTCCCTAGCCAATGGGTTTTTAACATACCCAATACCAGTTTACAAAGTAAGTAAACAGTAACACATCAATCAGTTTTCTATAATCTATATAATTCCACAGTTTACATAAAGACCATCTCAAGTTTCTAGCCTGTCAATAAAATTTTTAAGGACTAAATGTCAAAGAAAACACCACACAACTACTACTTTTTAATGAAAATATGCAATGTCAACACTGAAATAAATACGGAAAAAAACCCTTTACCTTTGTCATCTTTAGATGATGTCTTGCTGTCTTTAGATTCCTTTGAAGAGCTAAAGAAGCAAATCACCAGAAGAAAATTGAAAACAAAAACAAAACCAAACCCAAAATAGAACAGCTTGATATTCACTATATTTCAAACTAGTGCTATTCATACAAATTAACAATTCCAAAGGCCTAGATTAGGTTATTTGAACAAATGACTCCCTGAGGATTCTTGCACTGATTTTCCCCAAGATGCCTGAAGATCTAGATTTTCTGACAATTCTATTCAGTGGAAATATGGCCATCTTCTCCAGATTTCAGGACTGGGACTTGACTTCATTTTGTGTTCTTAGAACTGATAGTTGTTCATTAACCATCATCACAAGGATTTTAAAAAATAAAACACAAAAATTGTCAATTTGAAAAAAAAAAAACAAAAAACAACAAAAAAACCAAATATATGCTGACATTCGACAATGCAATCAGTAGAACACACTGCATTATTATGAAGATCTTGAAAATTTTTAAAAGTAACTTATGACGGTCAAAAATATTATAGGCAGGATCATAAGACACTAATTACTGTACATGTTCTTGAAGCCACCCCCTTAATGTAGAGTGATCTTATTGAATGCTGGAATTCAGTATCGTAAAGAACTGACATAGAAAAACAAACCTCTTTGCTTGACCAGAGGCCCCAGTAGACGAGGGCCCTTTCTTCAAAGTATCCTTTTCTTTGTCTCCAGATTCTGCTTTCTTAGAACTTTCTCTGGCTTCCTTCTCGACAGGGTCACCCTTCACGCAGTCTTCCTTCTTACCATCTTTATGGTTCGCATTCATCTCATAATCCTTGCTTTCCTTCTCCGGGCTCTGTGCAATGGCGTCCTGCCCATCTTTTGGCTTACTTGCTTCAGAATCTGTAATTTTCACATTTTTACCTGTTTCTAGGAGGTCATCACCATCAAAATCCAGAGTGATGGCATCTTCAGCCTGGATTGTGACCGAGATGTTGTCATCCTCAGCTTCTTTCACAGTCGTATGAGCTTCCATCTCTTCATGAGCTGTGTGATCAGCCTCAGCTAGGCTCCCTTCTGAAGGAAGAGGTTTAGATACTTCTTGTGTACCATCACCAGAACCTGCTATATCTAAGAGGATTTAACAGGAATAAATATGGCAAAACAAGAAGTTTAAACAATTTCATATTCATAAGCTAGAATAGGACCTAGAAAATATAAAGCCAGTTATTAGCACTGATGGAAGGTTAGGAGGAAAAAAAAAAAAAAAAAAAAAACACAAGGGTATTAACTAACATAAACCATCCTTTACCCAGGATCACTTATTCTTCATGGAAAAAATGATCTCTACATACAAACACCAAACAACAACAGTGAGAAAATGGTTCCATCCTGAAGATACCAGCTCTTCATTTCTGGTTATAAGTTAATGGCATATGGAAGATTTTGTTCCTCCAAGGGACAGTGACAAAAGTGCAGATTGTTGTTCAATGCTCGAATTATCCTGGGATTGAACCCTAGTGACCTTCAGAACTCCCATGGTGACTTCTTGACAGGTCACAGTCTGAGGATATCAATCAGTCTTCAAAGTATTTCAGGGCCCCATCTTTTCCACTCTTCAATGCTTGAGTAGTCCAGATTCGTATGGAAAACTGGTACAGAAGGCTCCAAAGATGCTCCTGCTCCGTAACGTTCAGGAAATTGGTTATTTCCAGTCTTCATCCTGTCCAGTCAGTCTGCAATTACCATTTTCAAAGATGTCTTGCATTCCCCCAAAACAGAAAGGCTTCGGGCATGTGACATTTTCAGTCAGTAGCTTTACTTCGTCATTGCTTCTAGGCTTTTTATTTGCCTTGCTTAACCCTGTTCCATGTCCTTTCTAGTCCAAAGTAGGATCCTTTGACTTCTGTCCAAGGACTCTTCCATAACCTCCTACTGACCACATGTATTACTACTGTTGCCCCTGTAATTGTATTGAATGAGACAGCTCGTCTAAACTAAAATTGTCAGACGACCGTATGGAAGTTTCTCTAAGCAGCAAACACAAAGTCAGTCTCCTGGTCATTCATCATTTTTAGGACTAGTTGTAAAATTCACTGTGAGTTATGCACTCGGACTCCAATAAGCACACATGAGTTACTGCAGTGTCAGTCTTAAGAATTTAATCAACTTACCGTATACCAGAAGTTATTTTAAAAATAAAAATTGGATTAAATAAAAAATAGCATTGCTCACTACAGTAACTGATATGTACTATTAAGTTGGAATATATCTTTAGTGTTCAAAAGAAAATTAAAACCAATTGGAAAATAAAATCAAGATGCTAACTTAATTCACTAAATAGATAAATTTGAAAATAAACTAATTTCAAAAATAAGATTTCAAATAAGGAGTGCTTTATTTTCACATAATTTACTGTTTTTCTAAATTTTAGCAATTTTTAAACTCTATTCAGCATCAAACATACCTTTCTCATTTTCTTCTTCCTCACCATCCTGAAATTCAAAGAATAATCAAATGTAAAATGAATTCACATAAAACTAGATTTTAGTAATAGTACAAAATCAGCCAAGTGAAATTTGGTGGATAGCTTCATATTATTATATAGGGATACCTAACACTAACAAGTAAATAGGCTACTCCAATCAAAACCAGAGTCCATGTAGAGAGAGATGTGGCACAAGTCTGGGACATCTTAGAAAACAGGTATATCTATCAATGAGTAGATCAATAACAAACTGGATTAATTTTGGTATTCAAAACTAGTTTATATAATCCAATTCTTCCTCATATCAAAGAGCTGTCAATAAGAAGACTGACTTGATGACGTGTTTTATGTTACTCGGTTCATAGGTACTCCTAGCTAAGATATACTATTCAAAATAGTACCAGAAAGTATAACCTGTAGACGTAACTTTCAAGTGCTTGGATACACAGTAATGAACAAACCAAACAAACAAACAACACTCCCCTTTAAGTATATCAGACATTAGAAGAACAGTTACTAAGTCAGTTTCAAATTATTCATTCTTTTAATGTGTTAAAAGTGAGTTCATATCAACCACTGCACTCCAGCCTGGGTGACAGTAAATCCCTGTCTCAAAAAAAGAGTTCATAGTTGTCATACATATACTGATGGCCAAGCCAATTTTAAAATGGTATTTGTGCTATAGGGAATTAAAACAAGTAACCCACACATTTTTAAAACATGATTTTAATTTTAAAATATTTGACAGCTTCACTAAAATTAAAATTGAGAATGTGCTAGCTTAAAAATAGAAGTGTCATAAAGGGGAGAAGCTTAATTTGCTCTACCAAGCAAATAATGCAAACATCACTGAAGTAATCAGAGCAACAGAGAACCAACATTTTCCCAAACATAAGACTATAAAGAATACAGTAATATGCATTCTAATCTCAATAACTGAACAAATTAAATAATCATTTTACTTTTTAGAGACAAGTCTTGCTATTGATGCTCAGGTGGTCTCGAACTCCTGGCCTCAAGCTGATTCTCCCACCTTATCCTCCCGAGTAGCTGGGATTACAGGTGCAAACCACTACGCTTGGCTTAACATATGTTTTGATTTTTTTTTTTTTTTTAAACAGCTTCTTACTCTGTCGTCCAGGCTAGAGTGCAGCAGCATGATCATAGCTCACTGCAGCCTCAAACCCTGGGCTCAAGTGATCCTCCTGCCACACAGCCTCCTGAGTAGCTGGGACTACAGACGTGTGCCACCATGCCCAGCGAATTTTTTTTTTTTTTTTAATTCTAAGTGGAGAAGAGGTCTTGCTATGTTGCCCAGGCTGGTCTGGAACTCCTGGACTCAAGCGTTCATTCCTCCTGCCTCAGCCTCCCAAAGTTCTAGGATTTACAGGTGCAAGCCACTGTGCCCTACCAAACGTTTTATTAACTTTTTTTTTTTTTTTTGAGACTGAGTTTTGCTCTGTCCACCACGCTGGAGTGCAGTGGCACGATCTCAGCTCACTGCAACCTCCGCCTCCTGGGTTCAAGTGATTCTCCTGCCTCAGCCTCCTAAGGAGCTAGGATTACAGACACCCACCACCATGCCCAGCTAATTTTTATTATTATTATTATTATTTTGAGACGGAGCCTCCCTCTATCAACCAGGCTGGAGTACAGTGGTGCAATCTTGGCTCACTGCAACCTCCGCCTCCTGGGTTCAAGTGATTCTCCTGCCTCAGCCTCCCAAGTAGCTGGGACTACAGGCACATGCCACTACGCCCAGTTAATTTTTTTTATTTTTAGTGGAGACGGGGTTTCACCATATTAGCCAGGACAGTCTCGATCTCCTGATCTCGTGATCCACCCGCCTCAGCCTCCCAAAGTGCTCGGATTACAGGCGTGAGCCACCGTACCCAGCCTAATTTTTGTATTTTTAGTAGAGATGGGGTTTCACCATGTTGACCAGGCTAATCTCGAAATCCTGGCCTCCGGTGATCTGCCTGCCTCGGCCTCCCAAAGTGCTGGGATTATAGGTGTGAGCCAGCATGTCCAGCTTTTAATAACTTTTAAAAGAAAAAACTAATCAGAAGTACACTGTTTAAAGTCAGGCAATGTGAAGCTTGTTGTGAAATTACCACATACAAAGCCTTAGAGCAGTGGTTCTCAAACTTCAGCATGCATCAGAATCCCCTGGAGGGCTTGTTAAAATAAAACACAGATTTTGATTCAGACGGTCTGGAATGAGGCTTTAGAATGTGCATCTCTAACAAGGTTCCAGGTGAAATTAATGCTGTTGGTACAGAGAGAACACTAAGCATTGCTGCCTTTACAGAATGACAACCTCTTAGTGAAAAAAGACTAAAAAAGTTGAAACATAAGTAGAACTTTAAACGGCTTATTTATAATACAATTTTAGATTCATACAAAAGCATGCACTTCTTAAAATGTCAAATATTTTACAGTGTGCTCAAAAGTACATTTGGATAATAATTTCTTTTTTCAAAATATTTCTTTCTTTTTTAAACGTGTGTGTGTGTGAGACTGTCTCACTCTGTCACCCAGGCTGAAGTGCAGTGGTGTGATCTCGGCTCCTGCAACCTCTGCCTCCCAGGCTCAAGTTGATCCTCCCGCATTGGCCTCTCGAGTAGCTGGAACCACAGGTGTGTGCCACCACACCTGGCTAATTTTTTTGGTATTTTTGGTAGAGACAGGGTTTCACCATCTTGCCCAGGCTGGTCTCGAACCCCTGAGCCCAGGCGCTCTACCTGCCTTGGCCCGTCAATGTGCTGGGATTACAGACATGAGCCACCACGCCTGGCCAACAATAATAATTTCTACGAATCATTTTATTAATAAATGATATTTGGACTAAGTTAAAGTATGCCAATTAGGGAATGACCAATTATTTTACAACTAGGGTAACATGAAAGAAACTTAAAAATACTAAAAAGCTCGACCATAAGCTGAGAAGTAAAATAGTCCAGAACAAGTAAATCATCAACTCACAGCAATGTAACTTCTATCACTATCTAAGTCCATTATACTGTGCTCTAAGAATTCCTCTTTATTTTTTCTGAGACAGAGTCTCACTCCGTCAACCCAGGCTGGAGTGCAGTGGCGTGATCTCAGCTCTCTGCAAACCTCCACCTCACGGGTTCCAGGGATTCTCATGCCTCAGCCTTCCCAGTATGCGCCACCACACCCGGCTAATTTTTTTGTTTGTTTTATTTGAGACTGAGTGTCACTCTGTCACCCAGGATGGCAGTGCAGTGGTACAATCTTGGTTCACTGCATCTCTGACTTCCTGGTTCAAGCGATTCTCCTGCCTCAGCCTCCCGAGTAGCTGGGATTACAGGTGCGTACCATTATACCCAGCTAATTTTTGTATTTTTAGTAGAGGTGGGGTTTCACCTTGTTGGCCAAGATGGTCTTGATCTCCTGACCTCATGATCCACCTGCCTCGGCCTCCCAAAGTGCTGGGATTACAGGCATAAGCCACCGCGCCCAGTCAATTTTTGTATTTTTAGTAGAGACAGGATTTCACCATGTTGGCCAGTCTGGTCTTGAACTCCTGGCCTCAAGGGATCCTTTCGCCTTAGCCTCCCAAAGTGCTGAGATTACAGGCAGGAGCCACTGCACCCAGCCTGTAAGAATGTCTTAATAAATTGTTTTACTAGAATATACTTTTAAGCATTATGTGTTCAATTTGCAGTATTTGGAAAGGAAAGAAAAACACTTTAACTTGGGTGGAATGGTAGAGACAGCAAGGGAAGAATGAGTTATGCTTGAACTATGGATAAATCTTTTTCTTTCAAACTGTCTTTTAGTTTAGTAATTTTTCTTGAAGCAATAAACTGAGACACCCTAGCGTGTATTTAAAGCAGACTAAATGAACTTAAAGAATGCAACACATGGCCGGGCATGGTGGCTCACGGCTGTAATCTCAGCACTTTAGGAGGCTGAGGCAGGAGGTTCACTTGAGGTCACGAGTTTGAGACCAGTCTGGGCAACCTAGTAAAACCCTGTCTCTATTTTAGAAAAATATATATTAAAAAAAAAAAATTTTTTTTTAAAGAATGCAGTTTGATTCTCCTTATCTACCTCAGATGCAAAGAGCACGCCATTTCGAAGTTATTATTTTAGAGATGCAAAACTGAAAGGAAGCTTCAAGAAAAAAACATGTCCAAATTATTGGCTATTTTAAAAAGTAAAATTTTTAAAATACTAAGATGTTAAAAAAAAAATTTGTTCTATTGTAGTTCCTGTCAATTATAATGTTATTTCTAGTTGCTAAAGTAACTAGTAAGGTTTGTCTTACTTGCTGGAGAATTTTTAGGTTTTTATCTTAATAATTCAGCATGTCTTCTGAAGGGTTTCATAATTTAAACAGAAATTTTATGATATATACTTAAATGCCGGTAGGGAAATGGCCTGACCCAACTTTTAGAAAACAAAACTGATTACAATGTGGGTGGAGCACAAAAACAACCTGGGTAAAGTAGAAAAGATGAACCACACGTAAATGCCTGTTGATTTTACTGCGCAGTATGTGCAGCAAGCATAGCACTAACCGTAAGTCCGAAGTAAGTCCAAAATACTTGCAATAAGGAAACAAACCAAGAAATATAATGGGAAATTTTCCCTGTCTAAATGGTATATATGCACAGACATGATATGCAACTATTTGAAAACAATTTCCCCCCATTGAAAACAGATTTTTTTTTCCAAATGAGGAAAAAAGCAAATAAGTAAATGTAAAACATTTATTTATTAAATGTAAAGCATATTTTAAAATTAACCACTCAAGTTTGTCTTAAAAAAATATTTAACATATGAAGAGGAAGCAAATGTCTACAAACTCATGTTGTTTATCTCACAGGGGGATCTGCAATCCTGAGTCAATGCTAAAAGACATAAAGTTCCTTATTTTCATTTCATCCTAGGAGCAGCAACGACTGCTAAGAGACAAAGACAAGCCTAGGACTTATTTTTCAGTGAACCAAGTATTTACTACACATCCAATTCTAC